CCTGTAGCTGAGAGCTGGGCTCTGGGTTTTCCATTTGGGTGATCTCCTGCAGGAGATTTGTAGGAATTGACAAATCCATTCATCCTGATTTTTAGGGAGACTAGGGCCTACTTCTCCTTGAGACTTTCTCAAGTGAATTATATGGAGGTCCCTAGGTCTCCATGCTCCCTAAGCACTTTTTTCCCCTAAGGGAGAATCCTTAAACTCCTTGGGCACAACTGTGTGTGAGAACTGATGCCTCCACCATCAAGCACATTTTCTGAATGGCTACTGCTCTGATAGTCTATTCTGTCAAATGAGGTCCCATGCCTTTGTCTTCTCCCTTGTCTTGTAGTCATCTACCATGACCTTTTGGAGCTCACAGCCTCTCACCATCCATGTAAGTGGAAAGATCCTTTTTCTAGACATACTTTCCTACGCCATATGTCTACACCTTCTACATCCTCAGCTGGTTTCAGCTTATTTACTTTGGGAGAATCTGAAAAGGGTCTGTCTGCCCCACACACCTCCATTTCCAGATTGGTGATTCCAAAGTTCCTGGAATCCATGAATTTTAACAGAAATAGACATGAGTGAATGTTCACAGACAAAATGGGATACCTGAGAGCTGCACTCTGCATTTTCCCTTTTAGTGACCCTTGGCAGAAGATTTGTAGGAACCACCAAATCCATTCTTGCCTGGTCTCAGGTTTCTGCTTGTAATGCCACCCTTGAGCAGGAGCTTCAGCGATAGACAAACTGACAGTTCCCGAAGGCTATTATTCTCCACAATAGCCATGCTCCCTCGGAACCATTGCCGGGGGTGGATTAGTCATCACACTCTCACTCAGATGTCTGTCACTTACCCTGGTGATTGGACCGAGGGAAATCAGCAAGATTCATGGGTTGTCCTTTGGCCCTGGATATCCTCATCTGTTTTTCTTTCAACTCTTACTTGGTGATCATTCTCCAGCCAATTTTAAGTAGATCCACCTGCAGGCCCACTGATAAGGGCAGGGGTAATACCGATGGCATGACACTGTATGGATCTCGGTAGTAGATTCAAAAACATTTGAGATCATTGCAATGTTTCGCCATGCAAGTACAGTTCAGCTATACAAGAGGCCTACACAATACTTTGTGTTTCTGTGCCTACCCTGGTCTGGTAGCGCCAGGAGTTCCAGACAGAAATCCATCCTAGGATTTCCAGGTGAGAAGCAGACGCTGGAGAGAAAGGACCATCCCTATGATGTTTTCTCAAATGCATAAAGGACCTCCCAGCAGATATTTGCCCATCCTACAGGTTGCTCTTTGCACCATTGTCAAAATCACATGAGGAAGGATATAGGTGTAGACAATGCTAGGACAATGGCCATGGTACTGAAACGTGGGAGCTGGCTATCTCTGACTGTGGAAGCAGAGAAGCTAAGGGTGATTCTCTCAGTGCTTTTGCTTATTTGGACCTGATTAAATTTTTGGCCATTATTATTTTGGGTGATTGGCATTCATTCAAGGATGCAAGAGAAGCCTTTCACTGCTCTTATCCCCAAAGGCACTATTCCTGGAGGTGCACCCTTACATTACTTTGACCAGACCTTTTTAGGCAGGAGAGGACATACAGATGCACTGACCACATTCTCTTCCACTCTACTCACAATGTGCTACTTCACAGAGCAGAAAAATGCTGCCCCTGCATCCCTTGAAGTCGTCTGGACCCAGCTATCCCGTGCAGGCTAAACTTACCACAACCTACCTCCGAGGAAGTCTTGTCAGCTCTGGTAAGCAGTCATTGTAGAGGATCAAAAACCATGCGTAGCTCTGTTTGTCCATGGCTGGGTCTATGATGACAACCCAATGTCACAAAAAGAGGTGATGACATAAAAATCATGCTCAATAGGATTACGCTGAGGCCCAGCCAACGGGATGTGGGAGACAAGGGCCTACTTCTCCTTGAGACAAGTGATGTTTATGGAGGTCCTTAGGTCCCAAAGCCCCATTTTTCCTGAGGGAGATTCCTATACACTCCTGGGGCACATCTGTGTGTGAGCACCAAGGGCCCTATCCACCATCACCCTTTCTGAATTTCCATTGCTTTACTAGACTATGCTGCCAAGGTGCAGGGGGCTCATGCCTTTGTCTTCTCTCTTTTCTTGTAGTTATTTTCCGTGACCTCTTGCAGTCCACATCATCATACCACTCAGGTAAGTGGAAAGTTGCTGGCTTGCTCCACAATTTCCATTGACTATGAGTCCAGCTCTTAAAGTCTCTGCTGGTCTTAAATTATTGTCTTTGGGTGAATCAGAGAATTTCTGGTCCCAGTTGCCTCCATTTCTATAGCAGAAATTCCAAAGTTCCTGGATATCATGATTTTTCAGAGAACTTGACTTTCGCAAATGTACATGGACAGAAGGAGAGCTTCACTATGGATTGGCCATTTGGGTGACTTCTTGCGGTAGTGTTGTAAGATTTGCCAAATCCATTTTTACCTCACTTAGATTCCTGCTTGCTCTGCTACTTTTGAGTTGGTGCTTCAGCAATTGATGGGCTGACAGTAAGTTCTAAGTCTCCAACAGAGATAATGTTCCCTAGGAATATTTGCCTGTGTGGAATGCGTGATCACATTCATACCTTCATGTCACTTACTACAGTACCTGGACTTAGGGAAATCAGCAAGATTAATGGGTTTTCTTTTGGTCCTAAATATTTGTCCCTGGATATCCTCATGTGTTTCTCTTTCATCTCTTACTCAGTGATCATTCTCCAGCCAAACAGGAAGTACAAGCACATGTAGAAAGATTTATAAGGGCAGGTATAAACTTCCAGGCACCAATGCCATGAGACTCAGTGAGAATTCCAGTAGTAGACCCAAATACATTTCAGAAATTTTCAATATGCAGTCATGGAAGTTTTATCACCTACAGCAGAAACCTCCACAGTACTTTGGGCTTCTGTGTCTACCCTGATCTGGTAGTCCCAGGTGATCAAAATATGAATTCACCCCAGAATTTCAAGATGAGAGTTAAACCCTGGAGAGAAAAAATCATCCCCTGTGATGTTTTCCCTGATGCATATAGCATACTCCAGCAGATATTTGTCAATTCTACAGGATTGCTCTTCACAGCCTTGTAGAAATCAGATGAGGATATTAGTGTTAGCAATGCTAGGACAATGGCCATGGTGTTGAAATGTATGAATGGGCTACATCTGACCATAAAAGCAATGAGGCTTATGGTGATTCTCTTAGTAATTTGGCTTACTTGGTCCTGACTAACATTGTGGCCATCGGTTATATTCTGTGCTTGGCCTTGCTTCTACTTCTGAATAGGCAGCTATCATTACTCTTATCCCCAAAGGCAGTATTCTTAGAGGGGTCTCCTCAAATTACTATGACCTGAACTTTCTATGCAAGAAAGAACATACAAGCGAGCTTGCCCCATTCTCTTCCACAGTACCCACAATGTGCAACTTCACAGAGACAAAAAAAAATGTTTTCCCTGACTCCCTTGAAGTTTTTCTGACTCAACTACCCTGTGCCACCAAAACATGCTGCAACCTTCCTCCAAGGAAGTTATTTTATAGGATCAAAAAGCATGTGTACCTGTGTCTGTCCATGGCTAGGTCTATGATGACAACCCAATGTCACAAAGAGAGGTGGTAACATAAAAGTCATGTCAATGGTATTACACTGAGGTCCACCCAACAGGATGAGGGCCTAATTCTCATTGAGACTTTCTCAAGTGATGTTTATGGAGGTCCTTAGGTCCCCAAGCACTTTTTCCTTAAGGGAGAATATTATACACTCCTGGGGCACATCTGTGTGTAAGCACTGTGCTCCATCAAGAAGCACATTTTGTGAATTTCTACTGCTCTGCTAGTCTATGCTGCCAGAGGGAGGGCTCATGATTTTTGTCTTCTCTTTTGTTTTTTAGTCATCCTCCATGAAATCTTGAAGCCCACGGCATCACACCATCCAGGTAAGTAGAAAGTTCCTGCCTCTGGATATACTTTCCAAAAATGATGTGCCTCCACCTTTTATATTATCAGCTGGTCTCAAATTATTGACTTTGAGAAAGGTACCAGCTAAGTATTGGTTGAAACTGAGAATGGTCTGCCACAGGTGCCACCTTTCCAGAACAGTAATTCAAAATATAATGGAGCCTGGAATTTTACTAGAATTAAACATGAGCAAATGTTCATGGACTGAAGGGGATACTTGAGAGCTGCACCCTAGATTTTCCTTTTGGGTGACTTCTTGCAGTAGGGTTGTGGGAATCACCAAATCCATTCATGCTTGGTCTTATGTTTCTGCTTGCCCTGCCACTCTTGAGCAGGAGCTTGAGCAATTGATGTGCTGATAGTTATAATAGGCTTTAACTCTCCAACATGGCCATGGTCCATAGGAACAATTTCCAGTGTTGCAATTAGTGACCATATTCACACCAATGGTAATTTGACCTAGGGAAATCAGCAAGATTCATGGTTACCTTTGGCTCTGGATATTTGGCCTTGGATATTCTCATCTGTTTTTCTTTCATCTCTTACTTGGTGATAATTCTCCAGCCAATCATAAGTACAACCCCTTTTAAGCCCACTGATAAGGGCAGGCATAATCTTAGAGACACTAATGCCATGAGACACAGTAAGAATTCCAGTACTAAACCCAAATACATTTCAGAGCTTTTCAGTGCACAGCCATGGAAGTATTTTTCAGCTACAGCAGAGGCCTTTGTGTTTCTGTGTCTACCCTGATCTGGTAGTCCCAGGAGATCAAAATATGAATCCACCTCAGGATTTCAAGGTGAGAGTTAAACCCTGGAAAGAAAGGATTATCCCTTTTGATATTTTCTCTGATACATATAGGCTGCTTCAGCAGATGTTTGTCCATTTTACAGTGTTGTTCTTTGCAACCATGTCAAAATCCTATCAGAATGTCAGTGTTAACAATGCTAGGAAAATGGTCATGGTACTAAGGATCCTAGAGGAGCCTCCTCAATTACTCTGACCTGAATATATATATAATATATACACACACATATGTGTATATATATTTAAAATTTATTATTACCATTTATTACATTTATTCAATTTGCATCCTGGCTGTGGCCCCCTCTCTCAACTCCACCTAATCCCACTATCCCTTCTTATCCTGCTATGCCACTCTCCTAGTACCCTAATAGATGTGGACTTCCCTTTTATTTGACCGTAGCCTATCAGTTTTCATCTTGACTGGTTTCATTGTCTTCCTCTGTGGCCTGGCAAGGCTGCACCCCCCAGAGGGAGGTGATTAGAGATCTTGTCACTGAGTTCATTCCAAAGAAACCCTTGCTTCCCTTATTAGGGAACCCACTTGGAGAGTGCATCTATGGGCTACATCTGAGTCAGGATTTTAGGTCCTTTCTTTGCATTGTCCTTGGTTGGGCTCTCAGTCTTTGCAGGGCTCCCAGGGCTCAGCTTTACTGCCTCTGTTTATTTCCTTTTGAAACTCCTGCCCCCTCCAGGTCTCTCCATCTCCCACTTCTTTCATAAGACTTCCTGCACTTTGTCCAAAGTTTGGATATGAGTCTCAACTTCTGTTTCAAAACCTCAATCAGTAGATTCTTTTAGGGGCCATCTATGGTAGATTCCTGTCCAATTCCCTGTCTTCTCCTGCTTCTAATATTTATCGCATTTGTCCCTCTGAATGAGGATTGAACATCTTCCCTAGGGACCTTTTTTTTTTTTTTACTATTAATTACACTTTATTCATTTGTATCCCCCATAAGCCCCTCCCTCCTCCCCTCCCGATCCCACCTTACCTCCCCCTTCTTCATGCATGCCCCTCCCAAAGTCTACTGATAGGGGAGGTCCTCTTCTCCTTCCTTCTGATTTTAGTCTATCAGATCACATCAGGAGTGGCTGCATTGTCATCTTCTGTGGCCTGGTAAGGCTGCTCCCCCCTCAGGGGAAGGTGATCAAAGAGCAGGCCAATCAGATTATGTCCGAGGCAGTCCCTCTTCACATTACTATGTAACCCACTTGGACACTGAACTGTCATGTGCTACATCTGTGTAGGGGTTCTAGGTTATCTACATGAATAGTCCTTGGTTGGAGTATGAGTCTCTGGGAAGTTCCCTGTGTTCAAATTTTCTGGTTCTGCTGCTCTCCTTGTGTGGTTCCCATCCTCTCCAGATCTTACTATTTCCCACTTTTTACATAAGTTTCTATGCACTCTGCCCAACAGTTGGCCATAAGTCTCAGCATCTGCTTTGAAAGTCTGCAGGGCAGAGGGTTTCAGAGGCCCTCTGTGGCAGGTTCCTAGGTTGTTTCCTGTTTTCTTCTTCTTCTGATATCCAACCTCTTTGCCTTTCAGTATGGGGATTGAACGTTTTAGTCAGGGTCCTCTCTCTTTCTTAGTTTCTTTAGATGTACAGTTTTTAGTAGGTTTATCCTATGTTATGTCTATATGAGTGAGTATATACTGTGTTTGTCTTTATGCTTCTGGGACAGCCCACTCAGGATGATCCTTTCTAGGTCCCACCATTTACCTGAAAATTCCCTAGGGACTTTTTTATTTTTATTTGTGATATTAATTTTAGTTTATTCACTTTGTATCCCACATATAGCTCCTTCCCTCATCCCCTCCCAATCCCACCTTTCCTCCCTCATCTCCCCTAATGCCCCTTCCTAAGTCCACTGATAGGGGAGGTCCTCCTCCCCTTCCATTTAACCCTAGCTTATCAGGTCTCACCAGGACTGGATGCAGTGTCTTCCTCTGTGGCCTGCTAAGGCTGTTCTCCCTCAGGGGGAGGTGATCAAAAAGCTAACTCGTGAGTTCATGTCAGAGACAGTCCCTGTTCCCCTTACTAGGAAACCCACTTGCATTCTGAGCTGCCATGGACTTTATGTGTGCAGGGGTACTAGGTTATCTCCATGCATGGTCCTTGCTTGGATTATCAGTCTCAGAAAAGATCCCTGGGCCCAGATTTCTTGGTTTTGTTGCTCTCCTTGTGGAGCTCCTGTCCTCTCCAGGTCTTTCTATCTCCTGCTTCTTTCGTGAGATTCCCTGCACTTTGCACAAACTTTGTCTATGAGCCTCAGCATCTGCTTTGATACCCTGCTGGGTAGAGTCTTTCAGAGGTCCTCTGTGGTAGGCTCCTGTCCTGGTCCCTGTTTTCTCCCTCTTCTATGTCCCTCCCATTTGTGTTTTTGAGTGAGGATTGATCATCTTAACCAGAGTCCTCCTTCTTGCTTAGCTTCTTTATGTGTGCAGATTTTAATATGCATATCCTATATTATATGTCTAATATCCATGTATAAGTGAGTACATACCATGTGTGTCTTTCTGTTTCTGGGATACCTCACTTAGGATGATCATTTCTGGTTCACACCATTTGCCTGTAAATTTCATGATTTCCTTGTTTTTAATTGCTGAGTAGTATTCCATTGTGTAAATGTACCACAATTTCTGTATCCATTCCAACGTTGAGGGACATCTGGGTTGTTTCCAGGTTCTAGCTATTATGTATAGAACTGCTATGAACATGACTGAGCAAATGTCCTTGTTGTATAGTTGATCATATTTTGGATATATGCCTAGGAGTGATATTCCTATTGGTTGAATCTGAGAATGACTGACAATAGACTAAACCTTTGAGCTGTACATCAGTCCCAATTAAATCTTTTCCTTTATAAGAGTGGCCAAAGTCTTGGTGTCTTTTCACAACAATAGAAACTTTAACTAGGACAAGTAATAACATATATAATCAAATCTCCTGGGGTCTCTATATATTCTAGAAATTTTAGATAACACTAAGAGTCTTGAAAAGACATGAACATTTTCCTTTTTCAGAATAATAGTTAACATTTTTATAGCATTTAATATGTATTCACACTTCTGTTTCTCCGTAAATTATTCTTATAGAGAACAATGTTTAGAAGTTAGATAATGAATACAATTTCCTTTGATAAGTTACTATATTGCCAGCCAAATTTTCAAATCACATATTTCAGTAATTTAATCAAAATGTTGAGATAAAGTGATCTATATTTGACAGATACGTTTTTAGAAAATACATAAAACTAATGTATTCTTATTTAAAATATCTTATTTAAAATATATAATTGCTGAAAACTCCCTACATCTGTGGTACAATATGGACCTCAAAGTATACAGGGTTAAAATATCCTCAAATATATTAAATCTTTCCAAAGTAATAAAGACACATTTAATAAAATGTCTATCTAATCATCAAAAATATTATTTTGCAAGCACCAATCATTAAGTCAGGCTACATCTATGTACTTATGCTACAATTATTCACATAATTAATTGTATGATAAATTTGTATGATAAATGTATCAGTTTGATAGCATGAAGAGAAAGTAGACCCATCACACATAAAAGATACTTTACAATCAAAATATTTCTTAGAAAAAAACTTACAGGCCAGGAGAAAGTGTGGTGATATATTCTATCTTCTGAAAGAGACTGTGGAAAGCTGGTCTTCATTTTTACAATAGTCATATTTATATCTAAAAAGCTAGACTTTAAGTAAAAAATAAAAGATAAAGAAAGTCAATGCATTTTAATAAGGAGAAAATTCCTCAATGATATATAAATATATCTACACCCAATGTTAGTAATGTAATTTCACACCACAAACAATGAGAAGCATGGGAGGCTAAACCCAAATAAAATAAATAATAAAAAAGACT